GTCTTCGGCATCTTGCTTTTTATTTATTGTTTTTTCTCTTTTCTCCATTATTCTTAGACTCTCCAGCGTGTACCTAGTTCTTTCCCTTTTCTCTTGGTCTATTATTTTTGTGTTTTTAAAATCAGCTGTGTGTCCACTGGTTACTATGTGTTGTGCTAGTGCTGTGTTTGTTTTTCTTTTTTTACAACGCTTTTATCAACTTGCAATGTTGTGGATCCAGAAGCTTTCAATGTTGTGTGTCCGACACCACAAAGCAAAGCTTTGAAAAGCTCCTATAAAAAAGCATAGTGAATAGGGCGACATCTGTAGTGAAGTAGTGCATAGGGCGATAGCTGTAGTGAATAGGGCGAGGTAGATGACATCTAGATGTCGCCCTATGTACTACGTTTGCTACACCGGAAATAGACGACACGTCAATTCTTTAAATAAAATTAATTGGTGCTCGTTCGTATGTACATACATATGTAAATGCATGTGTGTGCACCTTTCTATTAATATCGTTGAATTATTTTAATATCTATTGCAAACTTTTATTCATACAGGACTAAAAAGGAGAAAATAAATAATATAAAAAAAACTTTTTAATATACAACGCTTTTATAAATGGACTAAAAAGTAGAAAATAATATTTCTCAGTCCCATAGAATTTGTTTTGATAACTTTTGATTTTGAAATTTTACCAAAAGTCATTATAAACAATCTATGAAATTGAAAATGAAAAGCGTGGGGCGCATGTATTACACTTGAATTGATATGAAAAGTAATATATGTATGTATGTATGTATGTGGGTATATGAATAACGACCGCTTAAAATCGATTTCTAAGTTCTACTTTCGCTGTAGAAATTTTAGGTCTACGTTATGTAGTTTGACTATTGTCAACTAAATCGAATGCTTTGTAAGTGAAGTGACTTGTGGACCACTTGAGGTATAGGTGGACCAGTTGGTAATCACTTTGGGACCAGTTGGTAACTAGTTCGTGGGACCAGTTGGTAACCAGTCGGGGACCAGTCCGGGAACCAGTCCGGGAACCAGTTGGGAACCAGTTTGGGACTAGTCCGAAACTACTTACCTTCGGACCAGTTGGGCTTTTTAAGCTCCTGTGGCCGTTTTAAGGGTAATTCTTGGGCTCCTGCACTGCCGCTCGGGGTTTCTGCCTTCTACGGTGGTAATTTTGGGCCGGGTTGCCTGTTTTGGCGGATTGTTGTGCTGTGTGCCGCGTATTACGTGTGCCGGGTACCACTTTCTCGAGCGAATTGCTCTGGGGAACGTGTTGTGTGAGTTGCTGGCTTTTTGGCTAGACTTTGAGGAGGGTTTATACACGCATATCGGCGGAAATAGACGACACGCCATTTCTTTAAATAAAATTAATTGGTGCTCGTTTGTATGTACA